GTGGCCGAGGGGTGGGCAGTGGGCAGGCGGGTGCCCTGCAGCAGGCAGTGCAGTGTCACCTCTTCGCCCTCCCTCACCGAGATGCTGCCGTTGGTCTTCTCCAGGTGCAGTTCGTGCTCTAGGGTAGGAGGCAAGCAGAAAGAGACGTTGTGGTGTTGCGCTGCCATATAAATGCTCCTGACTGCGCCTGCAGGCTGATGGAAATCTTCCAGAGCGAACCATGGGGGATTGGGATGGCCTCTTGGAAGAGCCTCTGGCAGGACACCCACAGGCCCCCTTGCTCCTGTGACACATTCTCCCTGGGGTGTTTTTCCCCCCCATCATCTCTGCCTTTTGTTCATGACCCTCTGCCGTAATACCTCCCTCCCCCTCCAAATAAGTGATAAGGCATCCTTTGGACCAAAAGCTATTTAGGAAGCTGGAATTCTCTGATCCACTTTATTTAGGGCTGCAACCATAAGCCAGGTCATGCTGAGAGAGAGGGAAGAACTGAGCCAGTGAGACCCACCGTGCACCCCAGCAGCACAGTGCCCAAGGCGGGAGCAGCTGAGCATTCAGTCTTGGTCTCTGTGGCTATGTGCAGCAGGGTAGGGAAAACTTTGTCTCTTGCTTCAGGATGCTTGGGAGTACCAGGAAAGGACTACTTCCCTATTCACAGCACTGTACAACCGACCAAGTGCACCATGTGTTTGAGGGAAAAGAAAATGCCTCGATTCACTTTGTTACGAAGCATTACACATCACCTGCTAGTGGCAAGAATACCAGCTTGGTTGGTTTGGGAGGATGTGGTAAATCCTCCTAATTCCCTATTTCTGCTTGAGAGGCACTGACACCTCCTGCATCCCGAAGTCTCAGATCCAACGCCAGAGCCGATGATTCTCCTAAGCCCTGCCAGCTTAGGAGTGGCCTGGCAGGTGGCCCATCACAGATAGGTCCAACCTCCTCCAGCAGCACCTATGCGAGAGATAACCACTGCTCACCTGGGAGCTTGAACGCCAGCGTGGTCCTTCCTGATGCTCCCTCTCCGAGTTTGTACCAGCCGTCCACCAGCCAGAGCCATTCCTCTACCACACAGTAGTACCTGCCCTCGTCCCTGGGGTTCGCAGAGAGAATCCGCAGCCAGAAAATGTTGCTGGACACCCTCTGGCTCAGGAACCGGGACTTTTGTGCAGGAGAGCTGAACTCAGCCCCATATTCCAGTATGCTGCTGTAGTGGGCCCTTATGATTTTCAGGGGGTTTGCATCTGCCGGAGGAGGAGGTAGGAGGTACCAGGTAACGGTGAAATGAGAATTATTCTGGGCAAACACGATCTTGCACTCAATGGCTGTGTCAGCACCGCCAGCAATCTCCACAGAGCTCTCTTTCGTAGATACCTGAAGCTTGCTTTCTAAAAAGGAGAAACAAAATAATCACGCCGGCTGCAGCTGCCAATACAGGGATGGTGGCAAGGAGAGGAATGAGGCTAGCCTGACAGACCTGCCAAAAGAGGATGGAGGAAGAGGGTGCTCAGAGGATGAAGACCCATTAGGTGATGTCGGAGCAGGAGTGCTGAGGGCAGCGGGGAAAGGAGGGAAAGA